AACCAGGGGTTGGAGGGCCTCCCTCTGGCTGGCTCCCAGGGACTGCAGCGGGAAAGCACAGATACTCATCTCAGCGCGAGCTCCTGGACTCCAGCAACAGCGGCTTGCCAGGCAAGCAGTTTCATTCCTTCAAAGCTTCGTCCGAAGGCGCTCTCCCCACTTCGTGGGCTTTCAACACCTAGCGAGCGGCAAAGGATTCTGAAGGTGACTTTTCACCTTCCCAGGGCCCAAAGTCATGAAGTTGATCTCCTTCCCTTTGTGGCTTTACCTGGACCAGCCCTGACCAGTAGGAGTATTCGTTTGCGTATTGCCCAATGGTGACTGTGGCTACTGGAAACTTCCGGAAGCAGGCAAGCATAGCTTTGCAGGCTGGGACTCAGCTCAATTTGGGCTATGCACACTTCCATTTAATAATACGCTTGACAACCCAGGCCCTTTACCTACATATCCTGTGTACACACACGCCTCTGAACAATGCACCTGGCAATGTTAGCAACCTAAGTCCTTCTCCACCTGCATCAAGCTCTATCACATGCCACCACAAACAATGGACTAAGTTTCTCCTCCCCTCAATGAACATCAAACACAAACAGGTTCTATTCAAACGTATTTTCAATACCTCCTGTAAGAGCGTAGGAGGGCCAGTCTCTCCAGAACTAGTTTGTGTGAATGAGCATAGGACAAACCATGTCCTTTGCATGAATTGTTAGGGGGAAAACTACTTACTGTCTTATACCTGTGCTTAATTGAGAATGCATATGATTACAATTAGACACATTATAGAAAATATGCACAGTGAACAAAGGTTTACACTGTGTTATTCATAACAGCCCCAAGTGCCATCCATTAATGTCAATCAAAAGACTGTCGGTTAAAACACAGCCACCCATGCTATGCCCCTTAGCAGCCAAACTCTTCTTTCTCTATTTGATTTATTAATATATTTTATGTGCGTGGGTGTTTGGTCTGTGTGTATGTGTGCCTGAAGAGGTGAGAAGAGGGTATTGGATCCCCTAAACCAGGAGTTTCGGATGGCTGGAGGCTACGATATGACTACCGGGAACCATAATTGGTACTCTTTAAGAGTTCAGTATGTGTTCTGACCTACTGAGCTATTTTTCAGGCCCCTCTTCTTTCTCTTGAATCCCACCAAAGGCAGTCTCAAACTGTAACCGGGGCCCTATAGTAACCTCACTCATGTGGCCTGCTGTTTTCTTTCTGATTGGTACTATCACTTGGCTTTCGAATAAAGTTTCCTTACTACTTTGTAGGTCAGTATAACCCTTTATTTTAATTCCTCAAGTAAGAGGCCAATAACCTGAAAACACCTAGACTGAACATTGATAATCAGTTAGCAATGCAACTGAGGGAATGGAACTTTACTTACTTGTAAATTTATTATTCTATTTTGAGACAGGATCTCATGTATTGTAGGCTAGCCTTGACTATGCCGCTAAGGATGGCCTAGAACTTTTGCTCCTCCCAAGTGCAAGGATCACAGGCAAATGCTACCTTTATGCAGTGCTGGGGTCAAACCCAGGCTTCATGCTAGAATTCTAGGCAAGCTCTCTACCAACAGAGTTACCTCCCTGGCCCTAATTTCATTAAGTAACTACACATGACTAGTGTATGTCCCCACTGGGCAGCACACACATGCAGTTCTGAGACCCAGAATCTGAAATACCAAACAGTCTTTCTGGACTCACCTCTAGATGCACTAGATCTCCCTGAGCATAGGTTTTTCGTTTTTGTTTTGAAATACAGTTTTATGTAGCCGATCGTCCTGTCTCTACTTTCAACAGCTGGAGTTACGGGCGTGCACCATCATGCCCAGCTGTGTTTCTAATCCTGGGGCTCTTCATCTTACCTAGCTTTCCATCTCTCTCTTCTTTCTGTTGTTTGATTCCAACTTGCCTTGAGTTGCAGAACACCGTTCAGGCATTAGACCAAAGTGTCTCACACATGAGTTGGCCACAAAAATCAATTTATTGGCAGCATTTTAGAAGGGATCAAGTACCACACTGAAAACAGTGTTTACTGTAAACTTGCTGTGATTTGTGTACGTGGATCTGGGGGATATATATATATATATATATATATATATATATTACATGCCGTACTATAAAAAGTATGTCTCACTATGGGCCAAAATGCAAACACAAAAATGCTGAGTGTACCATTCAATCCAGAGAGTCAGTCACCTGGCCAAACCTGGGCAGAGCGAATGGACAGGTCTTCACAGAACAGTACGAATCTCTGGATATCTCACTTAAACAGGAAACCAGGTGTGAGGCACATCTGGACTGGCAAATGGAGAGCTCAGCTGGGGTGCTAAAGACCTACAAGCACCGTGCGGAAAAACTTCAAAAACGTTTCTTCTGTATACACCTGGAGCTGTCTGTCCTTCTGATCTATTGTCAAGGGTGGTATACGCATTTCCCTGTTCTCTATAAGAATATGAAATCGTGAACTTTTGCTCCTTGCTGTTGCTGCTGCTTCAGAAGGATTTCCTTTTATTTAAGTTCAAAACTTCTTTACTAAGTCTGTGGGAACTTCAAAGACTCCCGAACAGGATAAGGCATGGTATGTATATCTGCTAGGGATTTATTAGCCCTGGTGTTTATTGTCTCAGAGCTGGTTAACAAAGATGTCTCCCTTCAGATCTTGGCACCCCCTATGAGGATGGAAGCTGAGGAAGGGCTGGGATGGGAGACTGGCGGGGCTGGTGTTGGTGATAATAGCAGGCAAGCAAGTGTTCTCGAGCTTGAGGCCAGCTTGAGCTATGTGAGTTCCAAGACAGCCAGGGCCAGCGTGTGAAAGCTTGTCTAAAAACAAAAACAAAACAACAAAAATGGGGGGGAAAACTGATCTAGAGACTCCCTAAGCCCAGGAAATACTTCCAGGTGGTTTGGGCCTGTTTCCTGTCAAGATACTGGAATCAAATCAAATCTGAGCAGATAGAAGCAAATGTTCCATCACTCAAGTGCTTCATCCAAAGGCCCAGTTGGAAGGAATAGGCACCGACCTAGCTGAATGGCAGTTCCTCTTTTGCTCACAGCAAACATCTGTGAGACAGTGGCATTAGACCAGCCACGTAATACCATTATCATCCACGCTGCCTTGGGGAATGAGCAAGATAAACGTCCAGGAACCACGGGCAGAAGACCCATTGTTCTCTTAAGTCCCCATCCCTGGTGAGGAAGGTCAAACTCAGGGCCTTCAGCATGCCAGACAAGCCCTCTCTCACGGAACTATAAACCCTTCTCTTGGTTAAGATTTCACTAGTAGCCCAGGCTGGTCTCAACGCTGGAGATGCTCTGGCCTCTGCCTCCTGAGTGTCCTCCATGGGCCTCTGTCTCCATGAGAGCCCTCTCATCCCTAATGTTCGGCTCAGTTTCCTAGACTGGAAGCAGGATTGTACCTCCTGTCCTGCCCTCATCAAGTGGAGCTAGTTGGGAGAAGTCTTAGAAAACACTATTCCACCCTCACAGGCCAGAGAAAGTGCTTCCACGCCTTCTCTGTGCCGGGTGTGGTCCTTGTCACCGAGAAGTTACACCTACATTGTGACCCTTATTGACCCTTAAGCCAGGGCACTGGGTCACCATCCCCTTAGAAAGCAGGAGCTGAAGGGCTTGGGTCTAAAACCACAGCAGTAAAGCACTAGAAGTCCTTTCTCTGATGGCAATGAGGTGTATTTCATGCCTCGAGGCCCCAATTTCTGGTCAGTTCCTTTTGCAGAGATGAAAGAACATTATTAAGGCTCGCTGTGAATTACCAAGAGATGCACAGATGAACACCCTGGGCCACAGATCATTAAAAAAAAAAAAAGAATCCTGGAACCCCCCACAATTGCCTTTCCTCCCTGATACAAGCCAAAGGGGCTCTGGATTTCAGTGGGTCTCATCCTCTAACCCAGAAGTAACTGTAGTTACTCCTCAACCCTTAAAACTCTCAGAATATCGAGCTGCCTGGCGGGGACGAAAGGCTCCAATCCCTTTGACATCCCCATAGGCTACCTCCACTTGCTCTGTTTGCAAGAATTTTTTGGTGCTTCTTCTCATCAGAATTTTTTCTCTCAATACCATGTCTCAAGCTTTTAAATTTTGTTTTAGATGAACAATCGCTTTCTTAAGTGGCAGACAGTTGTCACATTTTCCAGATGAAGACATGGAAACAGGGGAAAGGCAAGTCGCTGGCCCAGAGTTTTCTGGTTCTCACCACATCAGCAGTGACTCAAGACAAAACATACCACTAAAACTCAAAAATCTGGAAGGGGAGCCAGCTGGACTCCTCACTCAAATGGACCCGGTTGGATAAGTAAACGCCGGCAGGCTTCTGTTTCCCCATCTGTGAACTTTGGATTAGTGTAGAAACGCAGAGGTGAAGCTCTGGAAACTACACCATATCATCTAGGGATGAAATACAACCTCTGAGTGAAACAAAACAAAACAAAAAAACCCAGCAAAGCTAAGTGAAGACTTGACTCTCAACCTTCTGGATCTCACACCTTCCCACAAAGAAACAATGTTAGACACCCATCCTGACGGAGTCACCAACCTGTCCCAAGCCGAAGGGAGAGTTATGTATCTGGGCAACGGGCCCCACATAACTAACTCCAGGTTTATTATTATTGGACACATCCACAATTCTGCAGAAAATTGCCAACTTCCTTCACAGACCAAGGGCAGAGAAGCCTCAGACTGAAATGGCTCCACAGGCAAATGTCACTCAATGTGCCAGACGCTTTGAGGTACTGTCGGGGAGAAAAATGAAGACTTTCGAGTCATGATGGGTACAATAAAAAAAAAATTAGTGAGAGCAGCCCATGTCTAAAGAGTAGACCTAACGGAAGACTGGTACCAGCCAAAAGCTGTGGCCTCCAGTCTTTAAAGGTGTGACTAGCATGCAGCCTGGGGGGCAATTTTGATATTTCACGTTAAAGGACAGCAGTAGCTGAATTAACTCTAGGTGATGTGAGTGCACGTGGCGGAGGGCATTACCTGAGTAAGTCGAGGAAAGAGTCCACCGTCTCTTTGGAGACCGGAGGAGACCCCGAGTCATCCAGTCCCAGGCTGCTGGACTGGAGGGTCTGCGCGCCCGCCCCTGGCTTGATGATGAACGCCAAGGCGACCGCGAGTGCAGAGGCGCTCAGCGTGGTGAGGCCGAAGTAAGCGACTGCGATGCCGCCCAGACGCCCGAGGGAGCTGGCATCCAGGGAGGCGGCGCCCGACACCAGACTGCAAACCACCAGCGGCAGGATGATCATGCGCAGCATGCGGAGTAGCATCTCGCCGGGGAAGGCCAGGTAAGTGATCTGAGTGGGGGTGAGCTGCAGCCTGCGCAGAGCCGCGCCCATTCCGGCGCCCACCAACACCCCCGACACAGTGAGCAGCACCAGTGCCTGGCGCCGAAAAAAGCCAGCGCACCGTTGCGTTTTGCCAGCCGCCGGCTCGGGCGTGCGGGGCCCGGCTGCAGGCTCTGCCTGGGTGCTGTCGAGGTAGCCGTTGGTCTCGCTGCTCTTCTCCATGTCGCTGCCCGCCGCTCCAAGCTGCAGCACGCAAGGAACTTGGACTCGGAGAAAAAAACCGGCTTCCAATGAATGGATCAGGCGGAGACAGGGGCCTGAGCCAGCTGCGGCTCCGTAACTCTGTGAGTCCCTACAGGAACAATTTCTAGAAAGATGAGGAGAGAGGTGGGCTGTGGGCAGAAACCGAGGCAGAGCCCACCGCGCCGCGCCCAGCCTTCTTTCAGACCTGCTGCAGGCTGGAGATGATGCAACGCTGGAGGCGCGCCGGAGGCTGCAGCCTAGGAAAGAGCTCCGGCCCCGCCCATATCACCCCGCCCCCGAGATTACGACCAATCAGAGCCATGAGACTCGGGGCCCCCGACTTTCCCAGGCCCCGCCCTCCTAGAGGCACCGCCTGGGGAGTGAGACAGGCAGGCGGGGCTCTCCCGAGGCCGCGGGGCGTGCGGCTGTCGGCCAATCCTGTCGCTCGGTCGCTTCCCGTCCTGGATAACGGAAGCGGCTCCCAGTGTAGGCGGAGGTGCGGCTCGAGAGACACCCTCCAGGGCGTCTCCAAGCTGCACACCGCCCGGGCCTCGCGGTGTGCACGGAACGCCGCGGTGTTTTCACCCCGGCCGGTGGACGAGAGTGCCCGCCCTCCGCTTTGTGCCAGGGACGGTCCACTCTCCCTCCTGCGGGAAATCCTTTCTTCCAAGGGTCCTGTGTGCTTCCGTGAGGTGAAACTTGCTTCGGTGCAGAGACAAAGGAGTGGGTGAATGAGAAAGTCTCATCGCGTGCACGCACAAGACTCTAGCAGAACTTTTAACTCTTAGGTGGCCGGGGACTCCCGGTGGGCTCCAGCGTCAAGGTTGCGCCATCGCACGCACCAGCTCACTCCGGGCGGTTCCTCGGGTCTCTGGGCAACAGCCTGGTGTAAGACGCAAAACTCAGAGAAACAGAGCTCTGACGCCACCACTTTCGGTGGCGTCTCTGCCACATAACCTCAGCAGAAACACAAGTCACCGGATTTTAACTATCTCCTCCCAGGGTTTCAGACTTGGCACAACAACACAACCAGGTGTTTGGCCAGTCTAAAAAACGGTTTCATGTGGTTACAGCCAATTTTTTTTTTTTTGAGACAGGGTTTCTCTGTAGCTTTGGAGCCTGTCCTGGAACTAGCTCTTGTAGACCAGGCTGGCCTCGAACTCAACAGAGATCCGCCTGCCTCTGCCTCCCGAGTGCTGGGATTAAAGACTTGCACCACCACAGCCCGGCAGGATTTTTTTTTAAATTTATTTACTATTTTTTTATTTACTATCTTGACCACAGCAGACAGAAGGGGAACTGCTGCAGTCATTTAATGTATAACTTATTTATTTAATTTAATGTATAGCTTATCCTACCCCCGCCCAGATGCCCGAGAAAGTCTTAGGTGTAGCTAACTTAAAATAAAGATGAAGACAATGTGCAGAAAACCCTTAAAGCATGTCATAACGGATACCTGTGTGCAAATCAAGATGACCTCGTGAGGAACTTTAAGACGTTGTCCAATTTTTGAGAAAGCGAAAAGCTCCCTACTTGAAGGCCTTTAGCTGTCGGGTAGAGCTTGTTGAAGCAGAGGCTTATGGGTGGGAAGGTGGTGTGCACGATAGATGAGAACCTGTACAGGTTTTTTATCTTGTTCCCCAGAACATGATTTATCTCTCAGTGTGCAAGGATGAGTAATTTCTACAGGCCCATACTCTTCGCTTCCACGTATCTCTTCCTCCCTTTGTAACTCTTATGCAAAAACTGAAGTCACGCTCCGTAAGTGGGTTTCCAGCTGTCCGATTTACACCTCCACCCAGACATCATGCAGCATCTCAACTCGGCACACTCAGAACTGATTTATGATCGCCTCCCTCCAGCCTGCTCACCCGTTTCTGCTACCACCGTCATTATGATCTGCCTCTGTGAACCTTCAAATTGCAGACTTCTCTCACTGGTCAGTTGTCAAGACCCAAGGACACTCCTTTTGTAACGTTTACCGGGTCCTTTCTCTCTTCCACTCCCGATGATTCCTTATTAGTTTTTTGGCAGAATATTTCCATGTAACCCAAGCAGCCCTTGAACTCAGCCTCCCTGCCTCTGCTTTCCAAAAACATGTATGTGTCACTGCACCTTGTTTATTTCCATTCTTCTAAATCTAGGCATTAAACAATGACTATTTTATGTGTTTATTTTCTGATGTATATGTGTGTACCTTTGTGGAGGCCAGAGGAGGGTGCCAGATTTCTCGTTTTATTATTCTTTGCCTTATTCCTTTAAAACAGGGCCTCTCGCTGAACCTAGAGCCAGGCTGGTGACCTATAAGTCACAAGCAATCCTCCTGTCTCTGCACCACAGCCTTGGGGTTACAGGAGTGCATGGCCACATCCAGACCTTTGAGCAGGTGCTGGGATCTGAACTACGCACAGAGCCGTTTCTCCAACCCCCTTAGCAAGGCTTTTGAAATTTTGAGATTTTGTTGTGGTTGTTGTTGTTTTGGGTTGTCATGAACTCTCTAGGTAGCTACAGATGACCTTGAATTCCTAATCCTCCTGAGTCCAGCACACAAATGCTGGACTCATAGGTGTGTGCCACCTGACTTGGCTGCACCCAGGGCTTTGTGTATGCTCCACTATTCCTTTAGGGCAGGGTCTCTTCCTGAACCCAGGGCCAGTGATCGCTTGACTAGGCTAGAAGTCATCAAGCTCCCAATTACCCTCCTGCCTCTGCCACCCTTAGAACCAAAATTCTAGGAGAGCACAGGACTCCGATTTGTTCAGAACGGGGCTAGGATCTGACCTCTAGTCCCCCAGATGGTGCAGTAAGTGCTTTTAACTGCTGAGCCATCTCTCCAGCTTCTCTCCTTTTAAGAGAGAGTCTTGCTATGTAGCCTAGACTAACCTTGAAGCTCAGACTGGACTCTTGAGTCTGCAGACCCCTGTGTGTTGGGATTAGAGGCATGAGCAACTATACTCAATTATTTCCTCTCTTGTCTGGTCACCTGAATTGTTCTAAGCAGGCTGTGCCATCAGTGATTATGATTTCTCACTGTGTTTTACATTTGCTCCAGGGTAATGTTCCTTGAGGCTTGGTGGCAGTGAAGACATGAATTCTTACTTTACCTTAAAAAAAAAAAAAAAAGAAAGCCAGGCATGGAGGCACATCGTTGTAATTAATCCTAGTCTTTAGGAGGCAGAGCTCGATCTATTTAGGTTATATAGTGAGAGTTTTTTTTTTCAACAAAAACAAACAAAACCGACAACAACAAAACCCACATTATTTCATTTATACTCATTAATGAGAACTTAGCCAAATGACCACACCCAGCTGCAAGAGATAGAATCTTTATTTGGCACTGTGAAATATTGGGGCTGATGTCACTACGGAAGCATGGAAAAGGCTCTGGGGCTGTAGCTCACTTGGCGGAGTGCTGACTTAGCATGCACAGGGCCCTGGGTTCAGTCCCTGACTTGGTGGTGATTGACTGTAATCCCAGAAGTTCAGAGATGGGGGAATGGGAGTGTGGAGGAGAGAATATCAGGGTTATCCTCAGCTGCACAGGCAGTTGGAGGTGAGGCCAGCCTTGTTTATATGAGACCATGTCAAAAATGAATAAATCAATCAATAAATCAAAGAAAAAGCACCCGAGAATCATGGTAGATCCATGCTCCTTGTTGAAAAACTTCCATCGACATCCGCGGAATTAACGCATTTTTCATCCTGACGTTCCTGCCTGTCAACATTGGGCTTCATCTGGCCCTCTTGCCTTGTGCCTCTGGACACGTGTTGTGGGCCCTGCATCATAAAAGTCCCTGTTTTTAGAAGCCTGGTAGCTCTTGTATCTCTTTGAAGAACTCTATTAGAAAGTTTCTTTGGACCATGTTCAATGGCAGTACTCGGAAAACTGGATATCCGTATGCAGTGACTAGAATTAGACACCCCCACACACACTGCATAAATCTATCAAAATGAACTAAGGCTTTAAATGTAAAATCTGAAATTGTAAAACTGCCAGAAGAGAGTTGGAAAGATCATTGATATCTTTCTGGAAAATGTCTTTTTTTTTTTAATATGCTCTCCAAATCACAGGCAAAACAATAACAAAATCTGACCATTAAATTACTTCAAACCACAAAAACTACACTGCAAAGGAGACTACCAACAAAGCCAAGAAGCCACCTCTAAAATGGGAGGATGTGTTCTGTCTAGCTTTCTGTCTACTCGACAGAGTCCTTTGGGAATAAGAAGGAACTTCAACTGAGTGAATGTGCCACTTTCCTGACCGGTGGGCAAGCCTGTGCTTTATTTCCTTGATTCAGGTTGGTGTGAGATGGCCCAGGCCATACCACTCTGGACAGGTGATCCTGGGGTGTATAAGAAAGCAGGCTGAGCAAGCCGTGAGGAGCTAGCCCAGAAACAGCACTCTTTCAGCTCCTGCCTTGATGTAGGTGGGTCTTCTTTCTATGTGTTGCTTTCATTGGTTAATTAATAAAGAAACTGCTTGGCCTGATAGGTCAAAACATAGGTGGGTGGAGTAGACAGAACAGAATGCTGGGAAGAAGGGAAGTGAGTCAGACGCCATAGCTCTCCTCTCCGAGATGGATGCAGGTTAGAATCTTCATGGTAAGCCACCACCTCGTGGTGCTACACACATTAATAGAAATGGGTTAATCAAGAAGTGAGAATTAGCCAATAAGAGGCTGAAACTAATGGGCCAGGCAGTGTTTAAATGAATACAGTTTCCATGTAATTATTCTGGGGCTAAGTTAGCCATGTGGGAGCCAGATGGGACAAAAAGCAGGCCTGCTCACCTCATCACTACACCACCTCCAGGTTCCCACCTTGAGTTCCTGCCTTGATTTCCCTTGGTGATGGAGTGTATGTAGCCTGAAAGTTCTAAGTAAGTCCTTCCCTCCCCAAAGCGTTTTATCACAGCAATAGGAAGCAAATTAAGACTGATATACTGGAGAACTACTTGATAAGGGGTTAACTCCCAAAGATGTAAGAAATTAAAAGAACTTAATAATAAGAAAACCGAATAACCTGACTGGAAAATGGGGTGGGAGTTGAAGCGATGTTTCTCAAAGGCACGAATGGCCGTTACCAATCTCCAGGGAAAACGTTATAGCCATGGTAAGATTCTACATCTGTAGGAGGAGCTGTTGTTGAACCAGGTATGGCAGGTCCACGCCTGAAACCCCAGGCCTAGTTCTTGGAAAGTTGAGGCAGGAAG